CCAAATAACTTCTCTGCCTTCCTTTATTTCATGTTAATGTCTCCTAAAACTAGTTAGGACCCTGGCTTCTAGCCCCTTTCTCCCTGCCCCTTACCCTGAGGGGTGGGCCTAGGCCCATGCCTTTCAGCTTCACCCTATTAAGATACAAACTTCCTCAACAAACAAGGCAAGGGATCCTGTAGACAACAGCTGCCTTCACCATGAGAGCTGCCTTCTTCCTCAGAGCAGGTCCTTATTCATGAATGAGGTAGGCTGTGGTAGCATGTAGTTATGTAATGAGGTGCTCTCGATGTGTACATGCATCAGAGGCCAATTCTTGTTTTTCCTCATTTGTGTTTCACCTAATGCAGATTTTTTGCTGCAGTGTTTCAGATATAAACTTGCCATCTGTAAAGTGTTGATAATTGCACCAGTTTGAGTGGGTTTAAAACCATTCTCTTGATTAAACATCCTTTTATTTTGGAGCTGTGTTGGTCAGGCATATGCTTTCCCTGTACCCCTGTTTGAATCTTGATGTTTCTGTTTTTCTCAATAGAAACAATAGAAAATTCACAGGGAGCTTATCAGGAGGCATTTGATATCAGCAAGAAAGAGATGCAGCCAACGCATCCAATTCGCTTGGGCCTAGCTCTTAATTTTTCTGTATTTTACTATGAGATCCTCAACAACCCTGAGCTTGCCTGCACGCTGGCTAAGACAGTAAGTTGCTTTATCATTTTCTAGGATGTGGGTGAAGATTTATTGTGACTAATGGACATTAAACTGATTAATTACTAGAGTCTGTACAGTAAATCCAGTTTTATTTCATGTTTTGATTTGTAAGATCGTACTTTCAGTGGCTTTAAAGGGACACTGTCACCTTAAGTTTACTCTGACTTGTTACTGAAAATTTTAAATAATGTATCTGAGTTGACTGAAAGGTTAAGTTTGAGTGTTTGCTTTGTGTGCAGTCATATTTCACTTTATATAAAAATTAAAGATGACTTAATTATTCTAGGCTTTTGATGAGGCTATTGCAGAACTTGATACACTGAATGAAGACTCATACAAAGACAGTACTCTCATCATGCAGTTGCTTAGAGACAACCTAACAGTAAGTTAGATTTTTTTCCTCCAATTGGCCCTGTTGCAATAAATGTGTAATGGTTATTAGTCCTTATTTATGTGATGAAACAAAATCGTTGTTTCACTCTAGCACTGAACTCTTGATATTTAGCCCTCTATGGTATTATCGTAATCTTATTACGAATAGGTAACGGTATGATTTAACTTCAATTTTTTCATTCTTTGCTGCATTCAAGTTAAATTTGTCTGACTGACAGCTTCAGGCTACTTGGTCAGAATTGGTAGCATGAGCTGGTTGGCTTTTATGTAGCCAAAAGTAGCCTGTTTACAATTACTGCAGTATAAGACGAGCAGGCTATTTTTACTTGGCAGATAAGGTGGTAGGTGTGAGAGGATGATTCTGCACCAGTTAGGGACTTTCTACTGAGGAACCCTGTTGGGCACTAACTCAGAGGCAAAACTTGTTTTTTCTGTATATCTGTGAAATTCCAGATTAAAGTACTGTCTGATTTACTAATTGGTGACTAGATTTGTCAACTGATGCTCAGTTAAGCATTTTAAGAATTAACTGTTATATTAAGAACAGACATTTATACTTGATAGGACTCTTAAGTGCATTAAAATATTGTCTCTGACAGTTGTAACGCACTGCAATATGGATGCACTTAAAAGTTCATTCCAGTCTAAAGGTACTATCAGTTCCAGCAATATTTCTTATCCTATTTATAAGTGAGAGATTTTGCTAGATTTTTTTTCTTTTTTTAGAATACCCCCAAGGAGCAGTGAACTTTTCCCCTTAATGTAAGGTGGATAATACTTCATTTTCCATAAAACAAATTGCCATCTTTTGAGGCAGAAAGTTGTGCAAAAGGAAGATATCTTGATATTTTATGTGAAGTTATTGAGTACCAGTTAAACAGACTTGCTACGTATTTCTGCTATGGCCACATGCATAGCTTGGCACTGTACATTAAGCCCATCTAGGTTTGCATTTGCTTAGCACTGTCTCCATTTTGACCATTTTAAGACTGCACAATTTTATGTAGGTAGCTGTACCTCATAGGTGGCAAGCTGTTTACTGTTAGCTGTGCTGGCTGGAAGCAGAGCTGGACACTGCCAAACTTTACACATTCAGAACTTCTTGCATGTAGCTCTTGACTTAGCCTGACTGCCAGTCTCATTCCTGTGGGGCAGGAAGGTTAACATGGATGATAGATGAGTAACTCTGCAAGTTGATGTGATTTTTCTTGTCTTTCTAGTTATGGACATCAGACAGTGCAGGAGAAGAATGTGACGCTGCAGAAGGTGCAGAAAACTAAACTGCACGTGGAGTGTCATTCTCCCTTTCCTTCTCAAGAAACCTTTTTACACGTCTCCATTCCTTATAGCTCCACTTGGATTTCCTATAGCAAAGAAACCCCATCAATGTGTATGGAAATCAGTTGATAGTCTTTTCACACTGCAGCTTTGGGAAAACTCCATTCCTTGATTTGTGTTTGTCCTGGCCTTCCTGGTGTGCGGTTACTGCTGTAGAAAAGTATTAATAGCTTCACTTCATATAAACATAAGTAACTTCCCAACACTTGTGTAGCGGACTAATGTACACCTGGTATTGAGAAATGAATCGGAACCAGTTCCCGCAAGCTGACTGTTTTGTATTACAGTAAAGATATGAACATGTAGTTAATTGCAACTAAAGAGTGTTTCACATAGCTTTTTAATTCTCCACGTCCCCCCCCTTATTCTGCAGGGTTTCCTTTCAGTAATGGACTTTCACATGCTACTGTGTATTCTTTTTGCAGTTGGGATAATGGAAGTGGTGGGCCAGATGGAAAGGTTAGTGTTTCTAGCTAGAGAATTACAAACAGAATTGCTTCCTGTATTAATATGCTGCAGGAGCTACAGTGTGTCTGAAAACCGGCTACTCTTACTCTTCAGTTGCTACTGTTTAAGTTGATATCCCTTCCCAATAAAATTTCACTTACACTCCTGCCTTTGTAGTTCTGGTATTCACTTTACTATGTACTAGAAGCAGCATGTTACTGTCGGAGTACAGGCAATGCTTTTTTGGCAGACTTAAAATGCATGTCATTTCTTAATACACTGGAATGGGAAACCAATTGAAGTTCACATGTCCAAGTATAAAATTTAGTACTTTTCCATGCAGGTTTGTGCACATGTGAGAAGGTGTCAAGTTTGTCCAGTGATTGTCATTTAGAGAGTTGGACCACTATTGTGTGTTTCTAATCATTGATTGTAGTCCCAAAAAAGCCTTGTGAAAATGTTATGCCCTATGTAACAGCAAAGTAACATTAAATAAAATTACATTTTATAAACCATTTACTGTTGATTTGTAACAGTTCCATGCATTACTTTTTTGAGGCTTGGTTTTTGGTTTGGTTTGGTTTTGGGGCGGGGAGGTTTGTATCCAAGATGCTTGTTTTAGGAGAAGCATTTTTTTTTTTCTCAAATCTATAATGCATGCTTAAAGCTGGAAGCTGTTGGAATGAATTTGCATCCAAATACCTGAAAGCAATGCATTAAAGTAGAATAGATTTAATTTGCAAATCTATTCCAGGGGCACAGATAATAAAGTGTAGCTGTCTCCCTTTATTGAAGCTACTTGTGCTGATGATTAAATTCTCTTACCACAGTTTCTGTATCATTAAAATTAGCTGCTTTTTTCTGAGGGATGTTCCACTACTTTCATACCTGTTCTCTGTGCTCTCAACTAAATTTATTCACAACTTTTTAGAACTCTTTTATTTCTTGATGTGTTTAATTTCCCTCCCATTCTGCCTCCCATACACATTTGTCTTGCAACTGTGGGCATTTTCCTGCAGTAATTTAGATGCATTCTCACCAGAACCTCAATGGAATTTACTATTTTTTCTGCTTTGGAGATGAAGACCTTGCAGCCCATAGCTGCATTGTTCACCTTCTATGTATTTCTAAACTCTAACCTGTACTCTTTAAATACTGTGCATTAACATAAGAATGCATGTGTAATGCAAATCTTAGTACTGCTGCCTTCCTAGGTTCTATATCAGCTAGCACTTTTCCCAGTCTGATATAGGTTTATAGGTATTTCTCTCCTAACATTTTCAGTCTCACATGATGGTAAGCTTTTACAATCCCTCTGCGAGGTCACTAATGAGTCTATTAAAACGATGTAGCACTAATCCCTGCAGAATCCCAGCAGCATCTTGCTTCATAAGCTCAATACACTGCAGCTAACCATTATCCTTTTGCCTAGGCTTCCAGTAGGCATAGCATCTGAGCATTCCTATCCCATTTGAAGTCTTACTGTGCAAGACCTACTGGTGGATATTATGGATTTCAATAAAATCATAGTTAATTTGACAGCAGCACAAAATGGTTGCAGTAAGGACATGAAGTAAATGTAATTATGGCTGTTTCATTTGGCAGCATTAGTCTATCTAAACATCTTTGTTCAAGCTTTCATTACCTTTTGTTCCATTGTTTCAGTGGGCATAGAAGTTTAAACTAGCAAGAGGGTAACGGCCTCACCTGATTACTCTGCTTAGAAACTGATATTGAATCTACTTCCATGTCTTTCTCCTTTGATTCAGCAACATCAGTTTCCTTTTTCCTAGTCTCCAAATATTTTTTTTTCATTTGGTTTTTGAATATCTTATTTTACCAGCTCTCATCTTTGGCCTTCACTCTTGATTTTTAGATGTTAATTTTGACTATTAATGGGAGTAATCAGTTTCGTACCCTCAAGTATAAAATAGTTTATTGTCTCAAGTCTCTTAGGAAAAGGACAGTTTTTAGTTAAAATACAACCCAGAGTTCAGCCCAGCTGCTGGCTTCTTTACTTTTCATTCCATCCAGGAAGAGCACACACCAACTGCTGAAACTTCCTTAGCCTGACTAAGGGTTTTTGAACCCAAGAGGTTGCTTAATAATTATTTTCCAACTATTTGGGTTGGTCTAATAAAAGATATCAGATTCACCCAAGGAACCTTGTCAACTCAGAGTTCATGCATTCAGTAATACTGATGAGAGATATCTTCCTCACCATATGTCCCCATATAACTGAACAGTGTTCTTGAAGTTTCAGTATACAGGAGACCTTTTGAGAGTGGAAGGAAGTGGCAATGTAGTAGGCCAACTTGGAGTCCTGATCTGAGTCCAATCAGTCCAATCTGATTCTGTTTGTGTGTAAAAACAAAACAACCGTAAGAGGAAATTTCATTTTTTAGCCTTAATCACAACTGTCTTATGTGGCAAAATCAGTATACTTGAGAGAAAATGTATATGCCATCCTGAACAGGCTTTGTTAGGGCTTCACCCTGAAATGCGTTGGTTCAGATTCTACTTGGTTAGTTTCTACAGCAGATGAGCATAATGTTGACAGGTTGGGCCAAAGTGTGGTGGTATACTTTTAACTTGGATCTAGTAGACAGCTTGTTATTAGTAAAAAAAAAAAAAAATATATATATATATATTTTGGATTAATATTGTAATCGAAGTATAACTGCAGGCAATGGCAACTGATTCTTATCCAATGCTGTTACTGGCTAATCACTTCATTTCCAAAGTCTTGTAATTTCTGTGTCCCTGTTGGTTGCATGTGAAGGTTTTGTGAGTAATGGTTATTAAAGATGAATTGCAAATGGAAACTGTATTCTGGGAGGGAGTACATTAGATGCTACTTCAGTATAAGTTTTATCTTCTGTAGCTATACTGCTTCTGCAAAGGGTTTAATTTTAGTAAAAGATAAAAATATACTCTTGAAAATGTTTGTTTCACTACTTAATGTATTGTATCTTCCTTGTTTATCTGACTAGTGTATATTATACTGTAAGCCCTGTGGGGCAGGGTTATTGTAGTCTGCCTCAGAGTATCTAGCATACTAGTGCATAAATAAATATTTTAAGGCGTTGAGACAATTACCTTTTCCATAGGATTCCAAGAAATTTGAGCTTTTTTTTCCCTGGGTGGTAAATGAGCACTATAAACAAAAGTTTTTAAGAGTTATATTCTAGGCCAATATTTCCATTTCTTCTGTATTTTTATTGCAACGGTTTTAGCAGACACAGAGAAGGTCACTTCTCAGAACCATTTTTGAGGAAACCAAATTCAGCAACTTCAAAACTACGTGGTACTTCCTTTCAAAATGGAAGTACCTCTTTTGCATAACGTTTAGTATTGTTACTTTATTTCCTCAACAAACCATATACCAAGGCACTGCTGTCTCCAGGCCACTCCAACTGGGGAGCAGTGTGCTGTGTCAAATTAGTCACACTGTGCAATAATAGTTCTGGTTCTGAGATTCTCCAGAGGCTTGTAGAACATCAGGTCTGGTTCAGTTAACCCCATTTCCCAGATGTGAGCACAATTAACCCAGCAAGGATACCAGAGGATTGTAGAGCTCAGGAGGCAAGTTCTCTGGTCATTGTATTCTTGGAGATAGTCTGGTCCTATTGAAGCTCTGGATAGCAAGAGGCCAGGTAAGTCCTGCAACTTGCTACCTTCTTCCTCTACCTGCCTTGGCATGTTTGGTGGCCTTTTCTGGCTCTTTATGGTTAATCTTGCTGGTGAGTCATTAGCTCTGGCTCTTCTCCATCCAACCAGAAGTACTAAGTACAGCACATCAGTCTATGCAGCACTATACTTAGCACAGTTGTGCTTTACAATCCAAATGTTCTCAGCTCTGTTGTTCGACATTAACCTATCAATTTGCAGTCCCAACACTAAGTACAACAAAAATCATTTTCAGGTACTATCCAAAAATGTCCCATCAATTCCCCAAAGAAGTCTGTAATACTTCTCACCTGCTGGTTCCCTGCCTCTGGCCTCACGTCTTTCTCTTACTTGGTATGTCTTTTATACATCTATGGGAAGGCAGCTGCTCAGGCCACTTGCAGAGACTTCTGTGATTAAAGGCTATGTCTATTAATCCACCCTCCCAGACTGCAGGACCTCTCTCTCCTGGCCTGTTTCCCTAGGACCAGGTTAGAAGGCAGCCCTTCCTGCAGCAGTGCTCCTCCACCTGTCCCTTTGCAGAACCCTGGGGGCTTTTGAGGCTTGTTGTCTACAGTGTAGTGTGAATTAAAAACAAGCAGGAATCTTATTGGTATAAGGCACAACGCTGCATTTATTGGAACATAAAATATGCAACATGAAAAGAATAAAGAACTATGAGGTTATCTGCTTCACTTATTTCCATACATATTCATTCATTTGGTCAGACACAGAGATATTTAGACAGTCCTGCAAAGGTTAAGGTGTTACCAAGTTTTAAAGTCACTTGGGTCAGTCTGGTGCCTATCCCAGACTGACCATGAGGGATGGAGACAGGTCTCGTTGGACATGCCCAAAACTTTCTTGCAGGTGTACAGACCCAAAGCCTTTTCTTTGTGTTCATTCTTTATAGTGAAAGCTACCCATACAAGTCTATGGATTCTGCCTAATCAGATGTGAAGGTCATCTTCCTTGTCCTGTTGGCAGACGGATTGGTAGGACATGATTTGGCCTTGTGGTCTGCAATCTTCGGGGAGGGGTCGTTGCTTGTAGTCTTCATTGTGAGGGTGAAGGCATGATTTAGTATTTGGTTCCTTAACTGCTGCCTCAGCGCTGCAACTTTTAACTGTTAAACCACAGAAGGCTATTTTCACCTGCTGCAAGAGGACTGTCATTGTTCACATTGTCACATACATACATCATTCATTCTTTCATTACCTCTTTTTAAACATGCCAGACATACCACAGACCTTACATAAGCATTTTCCTTATACCAAATTTAAATTTTAAAATCATGAGACCAACAGGTCAAATATGCTAAGCAATTGGAAATTTAAAATAGTTAATTCCAGATCAATAATGACTGATTAAAATATTATAAAACATAAATCATAACAGGATTAACTTAATGGCTAAACAATTATAGCTACTGCAACACAACAGCCTGCTAAAATACCTTCTTTTTCCTGAAGAGAAAATTGAAGCAGTAGGCTCTTCTACTCTACTCAGGGGCCCCCAAAGTAGCTATTGTCACAAAGTGGTGACCAGCCTGCAGTATGGGTGTCACAAATGGCACAGGCAGCTACTGTCACGCAGCAGATCAGGGAGGGAACATGGGTGGTAGATGGGGAAGAAAGCAAAGCAGCAGAGCAGAATAATACCAGAAAGCAGAGCAGCAGGTTGGGTAGTAGAAAGGGATCAGCAACACCTGAGAAGGGTGTGAGGTTAATTTGTGGCACACCTGCCAAAAGGTTGGCCCCCACTGCAAAAAATGATGCTATTCAGGAACTTTTGTGGGCTCTGGTGCTCTTCAGTTCTGTGCTCCTTTGTTGATAAGTAGGTGGATTGGAAGTACGTAATATCCCTGCTAGTGGTGCTAAATTTTTGTACTTGCCCTGCTCCAGCCTCCCTTCTCTTCATGGCAGCAACCAAGAGCTGGTCACCTCAGACCATTATAAAACATGTCCTGGTGCCTGAATTTTTATGGGGCAAAACTTGTACTCCACTGCTAGTCTCTAATTACCAAGCACTCTTAGTGAGGTATGACTTTAATGTCTTGACCTTACGGACTTGAGTTTCTGCTCAGCCTAGCAATTCCTTTGCTTCGCTGGTTTATGGGAAGGCAGTTGTAAGGCAGCCCTCCAAGCAGCTCCCAGTTCACCTCAATGGTCCCTGCAGTGGTTGTGAAATCTCTCTCTCAACTGCTTCTGGTCTGCCCAAAAAAACCTAAAATTCAGCTGAAGTGCTGTCTTTTGAAGGGGTTGAATCTCCCTGGGTCAGAGACAAAACCCTTTCCACTCTGAAAGATTTCAGAATGGTTTTGTCTCTTGCTACTCTTTCAGACAAAGGTCCAGATTTCATAAGATCTAGCCTTGCCTTGCACAAGGGCTGTCACTGTTACTGCCCTTCACATGTAGCAATCGGATCACTTTAAACAAAAAAAAAAAAGGCAAAGGTTCCAAGAGGAATTACTCCCCTCATAAGATAGGAGGTTTTTAGTATTTTCTTGGTGCCAAAATGATTTAAATGTAAATGTAAGCATTCAACTAGCTCTACTTCAAGATAGTTGAACTAGCAACTATCATGCCATTTCTACAACAGGGAGACAAGCACCTTTCAACTTGCAGGATGCTTATTTCCATATCACTCTTCAGCCTTATCACAGAAAATACCCCTGCTTTCTATTGTGATAGGACTGTTATCAGCACTAAGTCCTCACCTTTGGGTTTCTCTATGGCCCCAGGAATCTTTACCACAGTTCTCCCAGTGATATCAGTGCAGCTTTGGAGAAATAGGATTGCATTATTTCTTCATCTGGATGACTGGCTAGTAAGGAGACTGCAGCAGAACAGGTTGTGATTATAGTGGTTTTACTATTACCTTTATCATCTAGGTTAGTAGTAGTTTTGTTCCAGTCACTTGGTCTCCAGGTAAATTATCAGAAGTCAGTGCTGACTCCAGTGCAATCTTTGGCCTTCATTAGAGCCCTGCTTTGAGAATACTACACTGCAAACAGTAATAGTCAGGTTCCAGATGTCCTCACATCCCTTTGGAGCGAGTCTCATTCGCATGGTGTTGGGTACTTTTGGTGCTGCAGGGCAGACTTCTGTACACCCCTGATGTGATCTGGCTCTACTTCCCAGAAAGGCACCCTAGAAATGAATGTGAAAATGTCCATATTTGTATTGAACACTTTCACATGGTTGAAGGATCTAGCTGTTTGCCGAGTTCCTTTTCAGCTTCTGCCTCCCTAGCATAGTTACAGATGCTTCTTTCCTCAACTGGGGAATGTATGCAGGTCACCTGCAGGTGCAAGATATTTGGTCTTCTGCAGCAAACGTGCCTCAAAACATCCTTCAGTTGCAAGTTCCCAGGCAGGTATGCAAGGCTTGCTTTGGCTGCATTCAAGGCTGCCATGCTCAAGTAATGACAGGCAGCACTTCCTCTGTTCTGCAGTAAGTAGGAAGACACAAGGTATTTCCTTCTCACCATGGAGACTTTTTTTCTGTGGCACTGATGCATCTGCTATTATGATCACTTGTCCGCAGTACATCTGTGAGGCCGCTGCAGTGTTACAGCAAGGGTTAAGTAAGGTCTTCTCTGCTCATCATGAGTAGATCAAGAATTCTGTCCTCCCAAATTCTTGTGGAATAGGGTTAACTGTAAATTGATTTTCAACGGGAAGCACTGAAAATTTTGCCCCTGAAAGGGTCACACTCCTAGCTCCCTTTTGGACACTTATGATTCTACAGTTGCTAGACCTGCTATATAATTTTCTTTCCACACCTCTGATCCCAAGAGTGATCAGAAAGGTGATTCAGGATTTTTGGCAGTGGCCAAAATTTTTGTACATGGTGTTAACCAGAGGCTGTTTCACAATTAGAAGTGTTCAGTCCTATCTTACATTATTGGGTGCTGAGAAATTCAGGTTTGTGCTTTAGCTCAAAGTCCACTTGGCTTTTTCAGCTTGTTGCTTAACAGCTCTTTTGTTTTCTTCTATACTCAAGTTTCTCAAGAGTATAGTGAGCATTTTCCCTTCCGAAAGGACTCTTGTTTCTTAGTGTGGCCCAAACCTCGCCTTCATGACTTTTATGTATCCAGTGTATGAGCTGATGGAAACATGTTCCTTGTTTCATCTTTCCATGAAAACAGCTGCCTTGTTGACAGTCACCTCAGCAATAGAGTTGGGAAGGTTCAGGTCCTTATGGTAGATCCCACTTGCATCACCTTTATTCAAACAGGTGATGCCATGGACACCACCTAAGTTCTTACCAAAAGAGGTCTCTGAGCTTCACTTCAGTCAACAGATTTTTCAGCTTTGTTTCTTTCTAAAATCCCATGCTACCTGAGCCTGTTTTTCCTTCCTTCCCTCAACATTAAAAGGGCATTGTTTAATCTTTGCATAAAACTGAGGCTATTGAACCCTGGTTGAGATTCACTGGTCTAGGGCAGTGTTTCTCAATTTGTAGGTCACTACTCAAAAGTGGGTCACAAAAATATATGAAAGTGTTGCGAACAAACTTTAAAAATGGATTCTTCTTTAAAGGAGAAAAATGTGGGAAACTGCGGCTTTTTCCCTTGCAGGCTGGCAGAGCTCCAGCCTGCAAGGGGCTGCTTTGCGGGAGGGTGGGGAAGCAGGTCAGGAGTGAGGAGCACTCGGTTGGGACTGGCCATCAATGTTTACAAATGGGTCCTGGTATAAAAAAGGTCTAGGGTACTCGGAGAGCCACCTCCAGACAGAGCTCTGTGTGTGCGTGTAGCTGAAGGACCAAAGGAAACTCATAGGAAAGTAGGGCTGGAGGGAACCTCACAGGATTATTTCGTTCAGCCCCCAGCTCGTATCAGGATCATCCCTAACTAAACAATCCCAGCCAAGTGTCTGTCTGGCCTGCTCTTGAAAATTTTGAGGAATGAAGATTCCACAACTTTGGGTAGCCTGTTCCAATGCCTGGCCACCCTCATAGTTAACACTTCCTTTACTGCAGCTTGAGGCCATTGCTCCTAGTCCCGGCCCCTATGGCCCATCCCCATCTCTTCTGTAATCACCCTTTGGGTATTTGAAGATTTATCAAATCCCCTCTCAGTCTTCTCTTCTCCATGCTAAGTAACCCTAGTTCTTTCAGACTTTTGTTGCAAGTCCTGCTTCCCAGGCCTCTAATCATTTTTGTTGCTCTGTGCTGGACTCTTTCCAATCTGTCCACATCATTCTTGAAATGTGGGGCCTAAAAATGGACGCAATACTCCAAGTGGGGTCTCATCAGTGCTGAATAGAGTGGAAGAATAATTTCTCTTGATTTGCAAATGACACTCCTGTTAATACAATCCAGTATGCTACTAGCTCTTTTCTGCCATAAGAGCACACTGTCGACTCATGTTCACTTTATGGTCCACTGTAGCCCAGCCAGTCATTCCCCAGTCTGTGTATGCAATTATTCCATCTCAAGTTCAGGACTTTGCACTTGTCGTTGTTGAATTTAATTTGGTTGATGGATTATTGAGCCATTTTTCTGATCTATCCAAGTCATTCTGGATCCTAGCCCAGCCCTCAAGAGTGTCTTCAGCTTCATCCAATTTGGAATTATCTGCAAATTTGCTAAGTATGAACTCAGTCCCATTGTGCAGATCATCAATGAAGATGTTGAATAATACTGGATGCAGAATAGGCTCCTGGGGAACCCTACTTCATACCTCCTCCCAACTAGGCATTGATCATTGATGCTTACTGTTTGAGCACAATGATCCAACCAGATTTGTATCCACCTTAAAGTACTTTCACCTAATCCGTGTTTCCATAGCTTGTTAATGAAAAAGATGTGGACGATGGTGTGAAAAGCCTTGCTAAGGCTGAGGTACCTCTCATCCACTGCTCTCCCCACACATCCAGAGTCAGACATGATTTGCTCTTGGTGAATCCATGCTGGATGTTCCTGATCTCCTTGTCCACCTCCAGGTGCTTTACAGGAGATTGCTTGAGCACCTGCTCCATGATCTTTCCAGGTATCAAGGACAGGCTGACTGATCTGTAATTCCCTGGGTCTTCCTCCTTCCTTTTCTTAAAGATGGGTGCTATATTTGCCCTTTTCCCATCACTTGGGATCTCAGCCAACCCCTCTGAGTTCTCAAAGAGGGTAAATAATGGCTTTGGAATTACTGCAGCCAATTTCTTCAATGCCCTAGGGTGCATTCCACCTGGCCCTGCCAACTTGAAAGCATCTAGCCTTTCTAAGTAATCTCTGACCTGTTCTGCTGTTATTCTAGGCTGTTTGTCCCCTTCCCTTTCTTTGCTGCCACCTGCACTCATCATCTGATGGCTGCCTCTATTTGTGAAGGATGAAGTAAAAAAGGCATTAAGTATTTCACCTCCTCTGCATCATCTGTTACTAAATTGTTTTCTGTAGTCTCTAATGGGCCTGTGGTGTCTTTGAACTTCCTCTTACTTTTCACCCCTTTTAATCATTTTTATGGCACTTGCCAGTTGCATCTTAAATCATGCCTTGGACTTCCTAATTTTCTCCCTGTATGTCCATGCAATACTCTTATACTCTTCCCTAGTATTGTGACCAAGATTCCACTCTTTATAGGATTCCTTTTTGAGTTTCTATTTATTGACCAGAGAGCTACCTAAGCAGGCAGGTCTTCTGTTTGACTTCCCTTGATTTGATTGCATGAGAATAGCTTGCTCGTGGGCCCTTAAAAAGGCCTCCTGAAAGTACAGCCAGCTCTCCTGGAGTCTTTTTTTCCCTCTGACTTGCCTCGCAAGGGATTTTGCCCACCAGTTTCCTGAGTTTGCAAAAATCTGCTTTTCTGAAGTCCACCATGCCCCCCTCCCCCTGAATTGGCTCCTTTACAGTTTATAACAAAATATTATCCTCAATAAAATTTGCTTGGACTGCTTGTGCGCTCCTGTGTTTCCTTCCCAGTAGATGTTCCAATAATTACAGCCCCCACCTATGCCATAAGACCCAGGTCCTGCAATTTGGAAGCTTCCATCAGTTGTTTAAAGAAGGCCTCATCTACCTCCTTCTCCTGCTTTAGTCATCTGTAGCAGACACCTACCATGAAATCCCCCTTGCTGCTCTCCTCTCTAACCTTTACCCAGGGGCTTTCAACTGGCCTATCTTCCACTTCATACTGCACCTCAAAACTTGTGTATGTTGCCTTTATGTTTAGGGCAGCACCTCCTCCTTTTTTCCCCCCATCTATCCTTCCTGAACAAGCTTCACCCATCCATGACCATGCTTCAGTGACGTGGACTATCCCACATCTCCATAATCACAATTCCATAACTCTGTGCTTGTATTAGGACCTCCAGTGCTTCTCACAGTATATAAACACTTCGGTTGCCTAATTGTCCTGTCTTCTCCTTAAGAACGTTGCTAAGGTTTCTGCTATTGCTTCCCCTTACTAAGTTTTATCTAAGTCCCCAGGCTCTTTACTTACCTCTGAGCTTTTGCCTCCATTTCCCAGTGAGTTCATCTCATCCAGCCCCATGGACTTGTACATGTCCAGCTTTTCTAAATGTTCTTTCCACCATTGTTGGTTGCTCACCTCCCCAAACTGCTGCTAGATGCGATAGTCTGGTGACTGACCTTGCCCATGAAGGTGGAGGTAAAAAAGACATTGATTACTTCAGCCTTTTCCACATCATCTGTCACTCAGTTGCCGCCTCCTATTTAGTAAGGGACACCCACTGATCTTCCCCTTGTTGCTGACATACTTTTTTTCTTCAGTGCACACTTCTTTTCCATTCCAAAATCTCAGCTAGAGAGACTGAAGAGCACAATTTAATTAACAGACTGCTCGAGTTGATCAACAACATATAAATAATAATGTATCATATCCAAGAAGACAGGATTCTGCTCAAAGTTCGTCTCCAGTGAGGTCTTAGCTGCAAGATAAAACAAAGATTGAACCCTGTGTGGAAGGATGATGTAGACTAAGGACTTTGCCTATTACAGAAAATGTTGAGATGTAGGACTTTGTGGCATCTTTTTTTTACCACGACAGAGCTGAATAAACTTATCTGAGGCTCTGCCTACCTAGAACCTGAATCAGAAGCTGGGTGAGATGCTGGTTCCTCCAGTTGAGATCAGGCAAGTATCTTTCTAGGGACTGAAGACAGACCTGTAAAAAGACTTGGACAACTGATTGCTGATCTAAACTGAAATGAAATTTGAAGGAGTCAGGGGGAATATTCTTATGGAACATTCTCATTGGCAGGTGGAATAGGTGTTGGATTACAGCCAAGGCTACTAGAAGACAACTCTTTGTGATACGTGTTTTGTTGCTACTTTTTTCTAAATTTAGGATGGTTTGTTCTCCTTTAAAAGGTTCCCTAAGGTGGAAGTTCTGCCTATTAATGAGAAAGGCAAAGGATGATTTTAGTTTTTCCAAGTATGGGCAGGGATTCAGTCTGATTTAGTAATTTGTCAAGGACTCCAAATCTCTTGAACTCAGTTTTTTTTTTCACTGCTATTGAGCCACTATAGAATGGTTACACAAGCACTGAATTATCTTCTGAAGGGGACCTGTTATTAGCATCATAAACACAGGCTTCTTGCTGAACTGCATATGCACTTACTGGATACTGCAGCAGGAAACCTATTGTCTAGTAGAACTGAATCTCAGAAACTATTTCCTGGCTCAGTGAAATGCTGAGCGTTCCTGACTTTCCTAAGTATTGCCCAAATAATAATACAGTTTTTTACTAAACAAGTTTCCTGCTACATTCTTCAAATCCAAAGTTTTTGTTTTTTCTAAGTAATTCTACCAACTAAACTCTTTAAACGCTTTGATTGATAATGTATTTGAAAAAATTCTCAAAAGCTCCAGTTATTAAATCCAAATGGGAATCTGAATTATATTTCCATCTTGTAAAAGACTGTTAAAAAGATAACTGACTGCGGGGAACAGTCATGCCCTGGCAGTAAGGAGGGACTAGATGACCTCATTTGTCTTTTCCCGTTAAGGTTGTCTTTGATTCTCTAGTTAGTCACGCAAGTAAGGTTCAAAAGACTAAAAGTAAGGTTCAAAAGTTATGGAAAGCTTATTTCCCTAACAGAGGTCCTGCTGTGTTCAATTTAAAGACCTTTTTAGTTGCAAACTAACCTGATACTATACAATTTTCTATGCATTAGTTTTTTAGATTAATCCTTAAAAACCTACATTTCCAAATGCTCTGCGTGGAGCTGAGGGATGTCATCAGTTGTACTAGAGTTCTGCTTGGTTCAGCTGATGGTGTGCAAGGGTGGGTTTAGCTTAGCTCCAGCATAATTTAAAGTAGCAATTTTAGGAATACCCTAAATTATGGTATATTATGATCTCTGAACATTTCCTGCTGCCACAAATTCTGGTGTTAGCTCTATTCTACTCCTATTCTCAGTAGACTCCCTAGATAACTGGATAGTCTAGCTCTATGGTTGCTTTTTGTGCTGTACATTCTATCCCTAAATATTCACAATTTTAACAATGGCAGTCTTCCCTGGTCATTTGGTCAAATTCCCCACCTGTTAAGTAGGA